TTGGCTTAAAAAATGTCAAGATCACAAGAGAAGCAGTTTCTACCAACCAAGAGGGAGGAGGCAAGTTCCCAGGTGCCATTAAAATAATCACTGGGGAGGAAGGGTATTTGCCTGGATAGGTTTTTAATGGAGATAGAAGTGTCCTGTTCTGGAAAACAATGCTACAGACTTTGATCAGTAAAGAAGTGAGCACCAGGATTTTAAGGCAGGAAGGAATAGGCTAACTTTACTGTTTTGTGCAAATGCAGTCAGGCTTATGATCAGGAATGCCCTTATTTATAAAGCTGCTAACCCCTGAGCCTTGAAGGGAAGAGATAGACACCAGCTGCCAGTCTTTCCATTGTACAACATGAAGGCCCAGACAATGAGAACATTTTTCTATGGATTGGTTCCCCTGGTGCTTTGAAGTCAGGAAGTACCTTGGCAGCAAGGGACTGCCTTTCAAAGTTTTTTTTTTCGATATTGGGCAATGCTCCTGGTCAACCGGAACCCCATGAATTCAACACAGAAGGTACTGAAATAAACCACTTGGCCCCATATACAACATCTCTAATTCAGCCTCTAGATCAGGGGGTAATAAGGACCTTTTAGGCTCATTACATGTGGTATTTTACAGAAAGGATTGTCAACACTATGGAAGAGAACACCAATAGAGGGAACATCATTCAAGTTTAGAGTGATTACATTGTTGAAGATTCTATCATTGTTATAGAAAAACCCGTGAAAGTCATCAAGCCTGAAACAATAAATTCCTGCTGGAGAAAAGTGTGTTCAGATGTTGTACAAAACTGCACAGAATTTACAACAGAACTAATCAAAAAAATCACAAAATAGATGGGGGATATAGCAAAAAGATGGGGGGGGTACAGGTTGAAGATACCAAGATATGAGTCTTGGAGAAATTCAAGAGCTAGCAGACTGCAACAATAGAGATTAGCAGATGACATGATGGAGATGACTGCTTCTGAACCAGTGTCAAACGAGGAGGAAGAAGATGTAGAAGAAGCAGAGCCAGAAAACAAATTGATGTTAGACAATTGGCAGAAGAGTTCTGATTATTCAAGACTGCTTTTAATCTCTTTTATGATATGAACTTTTCTATGATAGAGCAGTGAAACAAAAGTGAATGGTGGAAGAAGGGTTAGTACTGTATAGAAATATCTTTTAGAGAAATGAAAAAGCAAAAAAGGTTAGACAGAAATTTCTATGTGTTTCTTTAAAGTTACACCTAGTATGCCTGCCTCTCTGCTTCCCGTTCCACTTCCTTCACCACTTTTGCTTTTGCCATCCCTGAGACAGCAAGACCAACCCCTCCTCTTCCTCCTCATCCTTAGTTTGCTCAACATGAAGATGGCAAGGATAAGACGTTTATTATGATCCACTTCCACTTAATGAATAGTAAATATATTTTCTCTTCTTTATGATTTTCTTACATTGCCTTTTCTCCACTTTACTTCATTATAAAATATAGTGTATATATATATATATCTCACACAAAATACGTGTTAATTGATTGATCATGTTATCAATAAGGCTCCAGGTGAACTGTAGGCTATTAGTAGCATACATAGGTTTTTAACTTCGTTGGGGGCGGTCAGTGCACCTAACATTACCCTGCATTGTTCAGCTGCAAATCTTTCATTGTCAACTGTAAATCAATGCCATATGGCAGAGGCACTGTTCTATACTTAGCATATAGTAAGTTGCGATAAATATATGTTGATTTAATAATAAAGAATGAATGTTTTATATTATGTGACTATCTCACATTTTTCTTTGAGCGGATCTCTAGTTATTCTAGCCCTACCAATAAATTGCCTCTAGTCCAGATCATATCTGCTTCTGTTGAGATTGTCAAATCATTCAGCCATTCTTAAGATAAAACTGCTGACCCTTATATCACACATTCTAATTTCAGCCACTGCAACTAGATGAAAAAATATAAGGAAAAGGAAATCATTCTTTTAATAAATTCCTTTTTCCAGGCAAAGCAATCTGAATTATGACAGTAAAATCTGCAATCTTACTGAACCTGTGGACACATTTCCAACAGTACAAAGAAAATGAGAACTCCATAGGTCAGATCTTTACTATGAGTCACTCACAGTAAACAGTACTCGAGGCACCAGGAAGTAGCCCTTCAACAAGAGTGTAGCTGTTGTGACAACACTGGCCTGGATCATTTATTTATTTATTTACTTTTATTTTTATTGGAAGAGTGTTTTCCTCCTTTCTGACTCTCATTACTCTTCTTAGAGTAGCACGTGCCTTTGGTGTGTGTGAGGGAGAAAACCTGTCTCTGGTACCTTCCACCTGGTGTGGGATGCATTGCACATCCAGGGTCCCTGGGCAGAACACACAGTTGACAGGAATGTCTTAGTTTTATTTAACTTCTGTAGTGTCCAGAATGTGGTTGGTTCTTTGTTCTCTCACCTTCACTGTGAAATCTTTAAATCCTAACACATGATTTTAGAAACATGAGGAATGATGCTACTATTACTTTTAGAAAGGCTTCTATGCATTAAATATTAGGACGAAGTTTTACTGAGCATTCACAGACACACTAATGACAGAATAGAACATTCCACTTATCCCAGAGAAAGAATTCCATGTTGTATAGTTGGGTGCAAGTATAACATGAAATACATTCTGAAGTCAGGGCTTGCGTCGCAATAAGCTCTAACCCTGTGTTCAGGAATCCTGCACACTGTACCTCAACTTGAGCAGTCTGTGTCTATAGCCTCTTGATCACAGCACCCCTGCTTTGCCTAATCATGAAGGCCCATTTCACCGGAAGAGTTTCTTCCCTCCTATCAGGGTCTGACCTGAAGGTAGCATTCCCATTTGGGCAGGGCCATGACACCATTGCCACCCCTGAAGAGACCTGTTGGTTGACCTCAGCCATGTTTCATTCATTTTAATAGATGTTATCACTTAGCCACTTCCATTTCAAAAGTCTGAGCTTTGAAGTGTCAACACTTTGAACTAAAGTGTTATCTTTATTGATATGACATTATTTTGTCACTAGGACATTTAGAGACTAAATGTTTTCATTTAGTCACTTCATTTCATGAGTTTTAACTCTTGTCGTTAACTGTTAGATAGTGACACTCTTTTGTCACTAGGATAGGACTTCCTGTGGGACATTAGGTGACTGACTTAACTACTTGGACCTTGGTCTCCCTTTCTGCAAATTGCAAACCATCGGCCTATTCAATCTCCTTGGTCTGTTCCGGTGCTAAATGTTTTAAAATTAAAACTAAAGTAGATAAATTAGGCAATTTCACATTTTCTATTTTTTCTTTTCTTTTGTTAGTCCTATAGAAATTTGTGGGAGAACAGAGGAGCATATTAACTTTCCTGTTTGATGCCCAGGTGATTCATGTGCTCAGATAGGGTTTGATAATTCACTTGCACAAAGGGGACTGGTAGTTTCCCTGGCCAGCCAGCCTACAAGCCAGCTGCTAAAGATACCAGCCTACTGTTTCCCCTAATTTAGAAACTAAGATTAATGTCCTGGGCACCTTCTCGTAGTCTACACTGAACATTGTTCTGTGCTTTATAAATGACAGGCAGAGTGATTTTTTTAAAAGGTAATTTTTTTCTTGTCAGTCTCATGTCTCTCATGCTTCCCACATCTCTCTTGCTTAATTACTCCCTTCCTTCCTCCCTTCCTCCCTCCCTCCCTCCCTCCCTCCCTCCCTCCCTCCCTTCCTTCCTTCCTTCCTTCCTTCCTTCCTTCCTTCCTTCCTTCCTTCCTTCCTTCCTTCCTTCCTCTCTCCCTCCCTCCCACCCCCTCTCTCTTCTTCCCTCCCTCTCTCTTTCTCTTTCTTTCTCTCTCTTCCTTCCCTCCCTCCCTCCCTCCCTCCCTCCCTCCCTCCCTCCCTCCCTCCTTCCTTCCTTCCTTCCTTCCTTCCTTCCTTCCTTCCTTCCTTCCTTCCTTCCTTCCTCTCTCCCTCCCTCCCACCCCCTCTCTCTTCCTCCCTCCCTCTCTCTTTCTCTTTCTTTCTCTCTCTTCCTTCCTTCCCTCCCTCCCTCCCTCCCTCCCTCCCTCCCTCCCTCCCTCCCTCCCTCCTTTCCTTCCTTCCTTCCTTCCTTCCTTCCTTCCTTCCTTCCTTCCTTCCTTCCTTTCTCTTTCTTTTCTTCTTTCTTTCTCTTTCTTTTGTTTCTTGAAGACACTAAGCTCTCTCTTGCCTTGGAGGAGCACATTTTCCTCTGCCTGAATTACTCTCTTGGGTCTCCTCCCCAATTTCCTCTCTTCTTTCCTCAGTTTCTCATATAGCTAGCCCCTTCCCATTCCTAATAACTCTACTTAAATGTTGATATGGTTTGGCTCTGTGTCCCCACCCAAATCTCATCTCAAATTCTGATCCCTACATGTTGAGGGGGGAACCTGATGGGAGGTGATTGGATCATGGGAATGGATTCCCCTGTGCTGTTCTCATGATAGTGAACGAGTTCTCACAAGTTCTGATGGTTTAAAGGAGAGGCACTTCCTCCTTTGCTCACTTTCCTGCCACCATGCAAGATGTGCCTTGCTTCACCTTTGGCTTCTGCCATGATTGTAAGTTTCCTGAGGCCTCCTTAGCTATGCAGAACCGTGAGTCAATTAAACTGCTTTTCTTTATAAATTACCCAATCTCAGGTAGTTATTTATAGCAATGTGAGCCGGACTAATACAAATGTCATTTTTAAAAGGAACCCTCCTGACCACTCAATTGAAAGTAAGTGATTCCTATAAATCCCTGCATAGAGCTTTGTGAATTGCCAACATAGCTTTAATTGCAATTTGTAAATTTTTATTTTTTGTTTGTTTTATTTATCATCTGCTTTCACATGAAACTTTAAGCTCTGTGAGGAAAAAGATCATGTATTATTTATTTGCCAATGCATATCTAGTGCTTAGCACATAACACCTGCTGCATAAATATTTGTTGAATGAAAGAGTATCATTAATGCCTCTTCAACAATATTATATGTACTTACTGTTGATTTTTTAGATTTCCTGTGCTTCATCAGCTAGAGAGATGAAATCCATTACCAGGATAAAAAGAATATATTATGGGGTAAGAATTCTAAATCCTTGTTAAAATACTTTGTTTTTTAAAATATGAAAAACTTCTCTTATATCTGTACTTTATCTGCAGATTGGAGAAAAAGGAATCTACAAAGCCATCAGTGAACTGGATATTCTTCTTTCCTGGATTAAAAAATTCTTGGAAAGCCAAGTACATTGGTTTTATAGTTATTGAGAACTGCTAGAAATACATTTATAACAGCCTATTTTTTAAAAAACTTTTTAACATAATACTGACAGCATGTTAGCTGATTCAGAATAGACAAGAAGGATTTGTTGTAATAAAGTTTTGAAGATAAGTGTCACTAATTTTCACATTTTCTGTGTTTTCAAATAATGTTTCCATTCTGAACATGTTTTATTATTCACAAATACATTGTGTCAATTTAATTTAAATTACATTAAATTAAACATTAACTCATTTAATATTTGAATTAACTGAATTAACTCATTTAATACTTGTGTGTGTGTGGGGGGTATTGGGGGATAGAGGGGAATGACAGATTCCTGGAATGCAATATAATGTTATTGAGACCTAATTAGATGTTATGTATATGACTGTCTGCTTCAGGGTTTGAAAATTATTATGCCAAGTGTGAACTTAGCACTTAACAAATGTTGAATTTAATGAAATAAATTGTGTTTCTTTCTCCTGGGTGTCCTTTTCATGACAGCATGCTAGAATTTCTTGGTGTGCAAGAGGTACCTACCAGATCACAGCAAATAAGATACACAAAGTACCTAACTGCTTGGAATGATTTACCAGGAATGCCTTTGACAGGAAACCCAAGCCACGAAGACCACAAGTAACCAAGATCAAATGATGCCGAATCTTGATAACAGGGCGCTGTGCAATTAGAAAAGTTCATAGAAGCCAAATAAAAGTCTAAATGCAGCTCACATTTCACCACAGTCAACTTTTTGTAATGTCTAAAAACCCCATCTACATACTCATAAAGGAGTAATATGGCCTAAACATTGTTTTGCCTTAAAGGGACTCTGCTCTGTGCGATTGGCATACAGCACAGAAAACAGGAGTCACTTCTGATGGGACGTCCTGGGCCACCAGCCAATTCACTCCCACAAGGCTTTCATTGCGCCCCTGCTGCACACCGACAGTTCTGGGACTTGGCACCTTTTGTGTTAATAGGTGGGACTTCCCCAAGGTCTTCATGGCCTGTGTCCCTGGCAGCTTTTTCCTTCATTGCTTTCCTACCATCTAGTTCTTTGTTTCAGTCATGTGGTCATTAGGTTGTTCACTAGGAGCTGCCCTCTCTTAACTGATTTCATATTCCAAAGTGATCCCTCTCTGCCTTTCCCCCATCAACACACTATGGTTCCATGTCTGATCTCTTCTGGAGATCTCATTCCTACACAAGTACACAGGACAGGAAAGGTATGGGGAACTGCAGGGCATTGGTGAGGGCGAGACTGGAGGACTCTCTTCATCTTCCTCTTTATCCAGAACTTCCCAGGCAGGCTCCTGGTCCATCAGCAGCAGGGCAGCTTCTTTCCTGAGAAACATTTGGAAGAGCTGGAATCTGGGGGATTGGGAGCCTGTTCCCTGGCTTTGCCGAGGACAGGGGAAGAGTGCACCAACAGCCCTTCCTTGATCCACGTTCAGGGGCCTCAGCATTTTCCAGGATTAGGCACCACCGACAGCTGAGTTGGACTTCCATAGAGCCCAGAATAGTCCCCAGTCTTGGTCACAAACCATTCTTAAGCTGTCCCCATTACTTGGTGTCTCCAGACATGAGAAGGGCTGATGAACATTCATTTGCCAGTCAGCAAAGAAGTATTTATTACAGGGGCTTTAGATTCTTAGGAGTAAAATTTCGTTTGCCTCCCCAATATTTCTGGGTGATTGAATTTAATATTTGATTATTTCCCAAGTTCTTTGGTTTTCCAGAACAGTCAAGAGGTCGCTAAACTTAGGAGCAAAAGAGCAATTTCAAAGTCATCATTGAGTGAAAGATCAATATCCAAGTGCTGGTGTCTATTCAGAAACTTCTCAAATGCCAGGGGCAAAAGCACAGTTTTCGCCTGCTTGAATAGGAACTGGTATATTGAAAGGGCAGCAAAAGAGGAAGATGCATTTGTGTGCACAGTGGGGATACCGTGTCTTGGTGGTGTTGCTGTGGGCTCAGGGGTGAAGTCCTCCGATTTAAAGGTCCCTCTCTGGATTTTATCAGAACCAGGGATGATGACATGTTGGGAAATGGCTGCACATCCTGAACCCACATGAGCTGCTGTATAAACCCTGAACCCACTTAGCATTTGTAGGAGGTGATTCCTTTTGGTAGATCCCTCTTGGATGATACAAGGAAACTACATGTCCTATGAAGATGTACTGTCTGGCTCTCTCTTGCTCCCTGTCTCTGTCATGTGAGGACATAGAGAAAAGACAAAAACATTAAAAAAAAATTTAAGATATTTTTGTCTGTCAACCATTATATCGGCTCTAGCACAGGGTAGAACAGAAGGAGCTTGAGGACCAGTGGGTAGCATGGAGTATTGCAAAGAACCCTTGGCAAGGCTGAGAGACCAGGCCAGCCCCCATTTCCTTCAGGTTTCTGCAGCATCATCGGTGGGTCACCTGCACAAAACAGTGACACCACAGCCTCCCACCAACCCCTGCTCACTTTTCTCTAAACCGCTCCTCTCCTGCTGGCATGCTTGTATGTTTACTGACGGTCTCTCCTTTATCAGAATATTGACTCTGGAGCGCCGGGCTTTGGTCTGTGTTGTTCTCTCCAGGGCCCCCAGTACCTAGAACAGGCCCTGAACCTTGAGGAATGGAGTATAACAGAGCTTCCTGACTTTTAGTTCTCTGAAAGCACTTATACTCTTATTTGTGTAACAATGAATTTAAATTAACACATTATTTTATTTGGCCCAAGTAAAGGGTAAATAAATACATAACTCTAAAAATAGACAATTTACACAAAGACATTCCTAACCAAAACATGTTTATATGCGTACATACAGAATCATCTTGCAAACCCTGGGCAGAACATGTCTCACACATTGGGAAACACTGCATTATAATGAATTTCCACTGCCTCATTCTGCCTCAGACTTAGAAATACATGAAATTAGAACCAGATAATTTTAACCTACCCACAGATACCAGTTTAGAAAAAGTCAAGCTACAATGTTCAGGTTTCAAAATGGTTTCAGTGCTCCCGTCACTTTTTCCGGAGATGGAGGGACGAGAGCACACTCACCCAGTCAGTCATTCCATGGTTCTGATGACTGTGGCTCTTGACAGAAGGTGCCAGGATAGTGACATGACTGCCGTCCTTCTCCCTCAGCCCTGGTGAAGAGGCCATGGTGGACGCAGCTCCGAGGGAGAGAAGCTACAGGAGTTAGTGAGGCTTGTGGATTGTTCAGATGCACACACAGGGGTAGGAACAAAAAGTGAAAGCTCAGTCAGGCTAAGCTGGAGTAGCAGCAGAAAATCTCAAATACAGGCCGGGCTTGGTGGCTTATGCCTATAATCCCAGCATTTTGGGAGGCCGTGGTGGGCCGATCACCTGAGGTCAGGGGTTTGAGACCAGCCTGGCCAACATAGTGAAACTAAAAATACAAAACTTAGCGGGGCTTGGTGGCATGCACCTGTAATTCCAGCTACTTGGGACTGAGGCAGGAGAACCACTTGAACCCGGGAGGTGGAGGCTGCAGTGAGCCAAGATCACGCCACTGCACTCAAACCTGGGCGACACAGAGACTCTGTCTGAAAAACAAAACAAAACAAATAAACAACAACAAAAACAACAACAAAAACACACTCAAAAGAAGATGCAGAACTATGCTGTGAATTACTATTCATCATGATCATTCATAAGAATGGATATCCTTCACTATAGCTGTGAGTGAGTTATGAACTAAAATGAAAACCAGTCGATTCTATAAATATTTATTGAATGTTCTGCTAGTCACACAGTCCTGGCTGCTATGTAATGATAAATAAAACTCGTGGTTTCTCCCTAGCAATTTAGAAACTAGGAAGGAAGATACGTATAAAGACAAACAATGAGTGCAATGCAAGCGATCATGGAGATATGTACAAAGTGCAGTGAGGTGGAGGCCCACACTGGGCAGAGGAGCTGAGGCTGAGATAACAGCCTTCAAGACTCCGCTCAGGTGTCACCTCTTCCAGCAACCCTTCCTTGATCCCTCCATGCCTAGGCTGCCTTAGATGCGCCTTGCAAAGCACATTTGCAGAATAGCACTATCACATTGTATTGTAATTTTGTTTGCTGCTTTTCAGAAGCAGGATTGTGGGATCAGAAGACATGCTAAATACTGCCAAAGTACTTTCATAACTATTTCGTTGCTAATTTTTCCCCATATTCTTTCTTGCTAAAACTAGATATTATTAATATTTGAATATTTTTGCCAGTCTGGTGGCTGCAAATTATATTGCATTGGTTTGGTTTGCATTCCCCTTAAAGCTTGTTAAATTGATCATTCTTTCATATGTAGATTCTATTTACATTTTCTTTTTTGAGATATTCCCCAAAATGTCCCATGGGCCATTTATCTAATAAGTTTGAAATCTTACCTGAACCTGATTTCAATGGTACAATTAAAGTAAAATGTAATTATTTCAAGAAATCAATAGAGAGAAACACTCCCTGGAAAGGCACATTGGGCAGTCTCTCTACCGCCTTAGCATCTCTCAGGAAAAGATTGCTATGAGGATGGCTTCTCCCTGCATCCTCCCTAGCCTGGGGAGTGCTCCATACCAGCTCTTGCTGCTTTGGGCATTCAAGTGAGAGGGAGAAGTGTGAATGTAAGTATTTGCACCTGCTGTGGGAGGTAGACGTGGAGACTGAGAATCCTTTATGGTTAGGCAAGCCCCTCCCTTGCCTATTCAGGACCTGTTCACAGCTTCTCCAAATTCCCTCTGCTTCCCACTCATGCAAAACAAGAGGGTAGATTATGCTACTGATTTGGGATAAGAAATGCTTGTGCCACTTTCCCATGAATTAAGTGCAATCCTTTAACTCCCAGCAGGCTTTAAGGACCAGGGATGTTGCCCTGGTGTCTTCTGGAGCCCACTCTTCCCTCCATTAAATACCTTGGTGCATCACTGGTTTTATGTTTTTAAATTCTTAGGAAAAAACACTTCATAATAAAGATAGTTGGTATAAATAAACTCTTCATAAATCAAGATAGATAAAATTATCTAAGAGATGTGGCCATCTTTAAAATAGCAAACCTCTTACCATGGCATTTCACGCCTCACTTTTTTCCTCCCCATAACATGTATCTGATTCTAACATACTATATAAACTACTTACATATTAGTTCTGTTAATGATTGTCTGCTTCCTTCTACTAGAATTTAAACTTTGTGAGGGGAGGGATGTTCATATGTTTTGTTCACTGTTGTATGTGTAGTATCTAAACAGTGTCTTTCACAACTATGTGTTCAATCAACTTCTCTTGAATGAATAAATGAGTGGACTGTGTGTTCAAAGATAAGGGGAAAGATCCAAGAGAACCCCATTGCTAAGAATGCTAAAAATTCCAATGGCTCATTCCCAACCTCAACCTTTATGACAGGATAGGAACTCTTATTAGGGGTAGGTGAAATGGCTCCCAACCACGTGATTACATATCCTTTAAACAGAACTATTTTCAAAGTGGTTGGTTCAAATGAGGCTGTAATGTTTTCTATTTTTCATTTACCTATCTCATTTATGATTTAGTCCTTTTAGATTAGGTTTAGAGTGGCCTAGACTGAGAAGGTGTATTTGGGGGGCTAGACATGGACAGCCGCAACTGTCAATAACTTTGGCATAATAAGATAACTTTTAGACTTTTTTTGGAACTGTTGAGAAAGCATTGTCTTCATAGAAATTAGGTCCCTCTGGTACTTTT